GTATTTTTCTGCCTGGGGAGGACGAACTGCATGTTACACCATATGTATAGCCACAGTCTTCTTTTTTCACGTCGGGGGAGCAAAGCTGTGAGGAATTTAAAGCAGAGAAGTGCTGGTCAGGGAATTAAATGGAAATGCTGTTGTAAGTTTAGTCAGAAGGGGGCAAACTTTGCAAAGAAATATGCACAAACTCCAATGCAGTTGCAGCCTTGGCAGTCTCTGTTCTACTAAGTTCGGCCCCATCAATACTTATTGTGCTCCTCTATGGATAAATTGAGCATTAAGGGTTAACCAAAGTGAACTGGGGACTGTGACAGAGTCAGACAATAGTATGGCCTCCCAGCCTAAAGAATACAGGTCTGGTAGGAAAGAGGAAGGCAGAATTGACTGCTGTGCAAACACTCAACTCATTCCATTTTCCTAATGCACCTTTTGCTTTTACCAAACCTCAGAGCTATTCATGTGTTGCTCACCTGAGTTATAATCTCATGGGTCATTCACCTTGTTTTGCCTCTCTCTGAAGCAAATATGCTGCCTGATTGTGTCTTGTTTTACCCAGACTTTGTTTTTTGACCACATCCAGTCAAGGGTGACAGGATGAACTTACTTCTGCAAAGAAAACAAGGTTCCAGCATGATATTGTTTACCTTCTTTTTTTAGAGAGAACTGTTAGTGTCAGCAGGTATTTTCTCAGAAGTGTATATTCTGAACATAATACTTGCAAGTAGTAATGGCTGGTAAAGGAGTAGGTTTCAGGAAGATGAAAGTGATATCCTTCAGTGTGTTCAGATTTCTCTGCCTAATCATTCTGTTTCATATATTGCCCTGCGATGTGGCATGGGAAATTTCCCTGCATTTTATTTTTCAGTGGAAAAAAAATCCATTTCATAAATTCATTTGTAACAAAGAATGGATTGCAAGATTAACTGTTTCAAAGTTTTTACCTTTTGTTTACCAAATACAAGTAAAACATTCTAAAATTAGATCACTCATCAGGGGCATCAGAAAATTCCCCGATGCAAACTGAAAAGTTTTTGATGCAAACTACTTATGCAACTTACAAATGTGTAATTCAGAATTTTCTGGAAAACCTGTCTCATTGATGGTCTCCAATCACTCTTCGACTACACACTCCCATATCCAATGTATTATCAGAGTTGTTGTTGTTGTTTAGTCGTTTAGTCGTGTCCGACTCTTCGTGACCCCATGGACCAGAGCACGCCAGGCACCTCTGTCCTCCACTACTTCCCGCAGTTTGGTCAGACTCATGCTGGTAACCTCGAAAACACTATCCAACCATCTCGTCCTCTGTCGTCCCCTTCTCCTTGTGCCCTCCATCTTTCCCAACATCAGGGTCTTTTCCAGGGAGTCTTCTCTTCTCATGAGGTGGCCAAAGTACTGGAGCCTCAACTTCACGATCTGTCCTTCCAGTGAGCACTCAGGGCTGATTTCCTTCAGAATGGATGCGTTTGATCTTCTTGCAGTCCATGGAACTCTCAAGAGTCTTCTCCAGCACCATAATTCAAAAGCATCAATTCTTCGGCGATCAGCCTTCTTTATGGTCCAGCTCTCACTTCCATACATCACTACTGGGAAAACCATGGCTTTAACTATACGGACCTTTGTTGGCAAGGTGATTATCAGAGTAGCTTATGTTAATTTCCCTGTTCTTTACCAGCTTCACCACTCATATGCAATTTATTCATTTTATGTTGCATGCCTGTACAATAGGCTGACCTCCTGGTGCTCAGCTGTATGCACTATACTGTACCACAGCAAGGAAGAATAACTAGGGCCGGCGTTGAGCTACGGATATTACAAAACATCAAGGGCATTTGCCCACATTTGTCCCACTTATGTCCCCTGTTAAAACAGGTTAACGGTGTCTAATTAACCACTGAACATTGTCATCGTGCATGAATATAACATGCTTGCTCTTCTTGGAACCTGGCTATTTTATCTCCATTAAATCTCCACAGTATTCCATTAAATAGGAGAGAAACATTTTAGCAGAGATGATGTCTACATTAGTGCTGCCTTTCACCCTTCAGCACTTAACCTCTGAGACACTGGCACTTATGGAGGAGAATTGCCTCCTCGCCCAAAATCTGGCGTGTAGCTTAGGGGGAAAGAGAAGAAGGGAAGCATCAGTAGTGTACATGAATGCCTTTAGAGAAGCTATTCCTATTTGAAAAGTATATCCTCTGACAGGCTTGACAGAACCAGGTGTTGTATTCATCCGTGTTGCTTCCCTCCCCTATCCCAAAGCCTCAGGTTAGGTCATCCCCCTGCCTGATTGTTTACCTCGTGAGATAGGTTAGGCTGAGAGATCCTTTTCAAAAGCTGGGCTTTATTTCTGAAAAGACCTTTGAACTGGGGTTCCCTGTGTTCAAACCTGACATTCTCCCATCAGCATTCTGCCGGCTGGTTCTCTTGTGTGTTCACACAGTGACTAACACGTGACACTGTAAACTGTTTGTTTTTATTTTTCCTTTATTTATTGGCAGGGTTTGTGTTCTGCCCTTCATCATAAGCAATCTCAGGCCAGATTACAAAGTTCAGAACATTATAACATTCTAATACATGCTAATTTAGACCTATAGATGGAAATTTAGAAATAATCACTATAATTTAAACTGAAGTAAAATAATCTCACCGTACTAGAAAAGACTGTGGCCAGGTGGACCCTGTGCCTGCTCACTCTTCTCTCTAGGTTCTAGTTGTTGAGGGACAACATGAAGGCCCCTCATGATCTTCCTTCTTATGGTCCTTCATCTTTAAACTAGACTTGGACTAGAAAGCCCATCAGAGGATGCCTTTGAACAGATGACTGCCCTTTGACAGCCCTCCAAACCAAGAACTGTTTTCCGTAAAGCAGAACACATGGCCACCCTAGTTAGAAGCTCTGTGGTGTAAGAAAATGAGTCCTGTGCTATACTATCTCACATTAACAAGAAATAGTGGCAGTTGAGGCCACATTTGATAACATTTGCCACTTAGAGACAGTGCCTGATTCTATAAAAGCTAAGGAGACAGATATTTCCAAGCCCTTTAAAGTACTGCCTCTTGATTTTTTGGTGGCAGTCCTTCCTTGCGGGCAGAACATGTAAAGGAAAGCCCTGTTTTGTTCTTGGTCATGCTGTGCCCCCACTCTAGGAAATGAGAAAAGAGTATTTCCCAGTACACAGAGTTAAAAAACTTCATCCTGTGAAATAGTCAAAGCAATCAGTAAGTGATGGAGTATCTGCTAAAAAGAAACCTGGCATTTAATTAACTTTTCAAAGTGCTGGTTCAGCAACCTCCATGTTTTACATTTTGAATATTGAACAAGCATCCCTAATCGGATCTGAATTAGTTCTGGGCTTGCTGGGGTGGAGAACGAGCGAAAGAGCAGCCTGCCATCTCCCCCGCCCCCTTGTCGCCCTGCCTTCTCCTTCCAACTTCACATTATTACGATGATGAACTCTGGGTAATTCAGCCAGATTTTGCCTGAACCACAAGGCGTCTGGTCCAGCCTTTTCCAGGGCCATGTAAGGCAGCTAGGTTAAATAGCAAATTCTTTGTTTATGAACTAGGGACAGCCGGGAGAGCTTCCTCTCTCAAGTGTTTGTACCTGTCACTAGTCTGGCATAATCTTCCAATAAGTATTGCAGATTCTATGCTTTTAAATTACTGTTGCTTTGGGATAGTGTTCAGGGGCAGTTTTACGGGCAACAGAGAACCCAAATGAAAACTGTTTTGCCACAATTTTGTTGTGACACTCCTTGTACAATGGTTAATTCCTTTTTGTTCAGCAGCCCATCATTTGATTTGAGTTTTAACCCACTCACTCCATCTATTTATGTTTTCAATATATAAATTTTAGAATACTGTATCTCAGAACATGCTCAATGACTGCCTTCCATTACTTAGCACTCCCCCCACCCATACAAAGGACATTGCTTTTTTAAAAAGAGCAGCTTTCAGATGTTACAGGAGAACAGCAACGTCTAGATGTGAAGCGTGACTTTTACAACCTCTCTACATCCCTTTAGTGCAAAGTGCAACACAAACTTGTGTATCTCCTCCATGCAGTGAAATGCATGCATTTTCCCTGCTGGGGAAATGTGTAAGTTTGCATTTGACACAAGTGTGAAAGAAGGCTGCATGAGTCATTTGTGCATCTGCTGTTTCTTAAGAACTTAAGAAGAGTTCTGCTGAATCACACTAAAGGCCCATCTAGTCTAGCATTGTGGCCAACCAAATACCTATGGGAAGCCCACAAGCAGGATTTGAATACAAGAGCACTCTCCCCGCCGGTGGTTTCTAGAAACTGGTATTCACAACTATGCTGCCTCTGACAGTGGAGATAGAAGACAGTCATCACGGCTAGTAGTTACTGATCACCTTATGCTCCATGAGTTTGTTTAATCCTCTTTTAAAGTCATCCAATTTGGTAGCCACCACTGCTGTTGCTGCTGCTTCATCATCACCACCACCACCACCACCACATGAAAGGCCTTGTTGGGCCTTAGAAGTGGAGGAATTTCCACACTTTCCCCCTTGCTTTTTAAAACTTGCTGCACAGTGGGCACTACTTTAGTTGACAGGCTTCCGTTTAGGTTTTATGAGCATCCTGAGTTATATCTAGATGCCCTCATCAACTAAAATACCAACTATCCGACTTCTAGAAAACATCTGAAGGCAGCCCTGTTTAGGGAAGTTTTTAATGTTTGAAGTTTTATTCTGTTTTTAATGTTCTGTTGAAAGCCACCCAGAGTGGCTGGGGAAACCCAGCCAGATGGGCAGGGTAGGAATGAATGAATGAATGAATGAATGAATGAATGAATGAATGAATGAATAAATATATCATCATCATCATCTTTTACCAGGATTACATTGAAATAAACTTTTCCTTAGGAGAGATTTCAAAAGAGTTGCTGAAAGTCCATTTCTCTACTGCTGCTTCCTTGCAAATATTCTTATACTCCTTTCAGCAATAGCCTTTTCTTGTCTTTCAGGTCAAAAAAGAGAACGACAGAACAAGAAGTGGAAGAGTAAGTTTCTTGCTTCACCATCAACCACATTTCTGTATATATATCAACAGAATCAGCCAAATGTGACATCTTTGTATTTTATTTTCTGTCTGTGGCAGTAGACCTTCCTAGTTTTTTGCTAATGCAAACATGACCAACGTTTAGTCAGCTTTGCTCAGTGAAGATTGGAACATATTCTTCTTTAAGTGCTCAGAAGGAATAGCTTAGCCAGACTTAACAAGACTTCCCGAATCTTTAGATTATGAAGGCGTGATTTGCAAAACCCCCCAAAAACCTGTCATTCCCAATGTTCTGAGTTTGGCCATCACATTGTCTCTACTGCCACTGTCATTGCAGAAGTTCAGTGATGGTGTATTTGGAACAGATACCAAGATTGCCTCCCTCATCATTCACAGGGTGCTGCATCCAATTCTGCCCCTCCACTTTCAGAAAACATTTTCCCCCTCTAGTTAACACTTTTGCGAGTGGAACTTAGCGGAGGGAATTTTCACGATTTCCCACTTCTCTTCCAGCCCCTCATATCACCTTGCCCTGTGTGTTTTTCTTCAGAAGAAGCAGATAGTAGAGTGAAATAGGACTTCAGGAGATATCGTTTTATAGTTATGCCTCTAAGATTGTCTTCTGTCTCTGGTTTCTTCTAGCCATCGCCTGAGACAGAGTTTAGAGGCAGAGGATGAAGAAGAAGGTAAGAGCCTGCATTCCTAACTGAATTTTTAAAATAGGATTTTAGGAGATCAGCAGAAAATTTAGCTTTGCACAAATGAAGTGGATTAAAGGGCCTTGTTACCCTTAGAATCATAGAATCATTGAATTGGAAGGGACCCCGAGGGTCATCTAGTCCAACCACCTGCAATGTAGGAATCTTAACTCAAGCATTCTCTTACCGTCAGAAAGCTCTTCCTGATGTTGAGCCAGAATCTCCTTTCTTGTAGCTTGAATCCATTGGTTCATGCCCTACCCTCCAGAGCTGGAGAAAACAAGCCTGCTCCTTGTGTAACAAATCCATGTTCAAAAAATATAGGGACGTTTTGTGGTTAGAGAAATTAAAGGCTATTGAAAAGTGTGGAATGAGCAGATGATTAAAAGGAAGGTGTATAAACACCTTGCAACAAAACCAGGATGAATACTCAATAAATAGATGGTTTGGAGAAGCTCTAAGGTGTCTACATCTGTGTTCTGGAAGCCTTTTTAGTTAAGATTAAGATGAATAGAATCTCCCCTAGCAGAGGTATCAAGTGAATTTAAGATATATGTGTAAGGTAAAGGGTATTTCAACTACTATAAGGCGCAAGAGGCATAGCAAGTGACTTTCTGCGCTACCAGGGCTATAGTGCTTTTTGTGTATGTGCAGGCATCTTCCATTTGTGGAATTGTGTGGGAGGGGAAGAGATCATTCAGCACCCTCCTCCTTTCCAATGCACTTGCAGAGGCAGCGTACAGCGAAACACAAAACATTTTACTGCAGCGTAGAAAACAAAAGGACATAAGAAGAGCCTGCTGGATCAGGCCAGGGGCCTGTTTGGTCCAGCATCCTGTTCTCACTTTGGTCAACCAGATGCCTATGGGAAGCCGCAATGCAGGATCTGAGAGTGACAGCATGCTCCCCTCCTGGTCAGTCGTCACTGATCCAGGACAAGATGAGCATATAAGTGAAATTAATACTTTTTCGCCCGGACCAAATGCTTCAGAATCACTGGACCAGCATCAGATTCACTTTTGGTTGATGAAGACTTTTGGTTGCCACCTAAAAAGTGAGCGAATAAAGCGTATTTGTTCCAGAGTAAATACCCGCCTAAAAGTATCCAGAATGTTGAAGACAGGAAGCAGCTACAGGAAATGTGCCTTTGCTGCAGAACTGGAGAAAATGTGATAGAGACTAGTAGCATCAGAGCCTAGGGGCAGGAAATGGGGAATGAATTGAAGGGTTTAGCTTTGGCATTAAATAAGGCAGAAATTGTCTCTAGAACTTGGATATAACCCATTTATCTGTACCGCTTACTGTTCCTATGCCTGTTGAACACCCTCGTTTGCCTCCTCAAGGCAAGCTCTTCACACACCTCAAGAACAATACTGAGAAGTCTCACAAAAATACTTCTGGAAATAAAGATTCTGGCCCATTTGGCGGCCGGCTGGCCTGCAAAGGATGCACAGGTGCAGCCCTGCAATGTTCCTGCTGCTGTTTTTCTTCTAATAGCAACTATGGTTTTCCACAGCTTCCTGACTGGGCTTCTGCTATGCCTGGTTTGCTATGGGCTTCCAGCACCTAGGAACAGTTTTATCAGCCAAGAGAAACAAGTGGAGAAACGCTCAAGGTGCTTGTGTAGGGAAACATTTACAAGGACAGCAGGAAACCTGGCAGGCAAGGACATGTTTTCTGCCAGGAGGTGCTACGGTTAACTTGAAATGACTAAATCTCAGTCCACGTGAGAAGTGACCTACAGGGTTAATGTTCACAAACACAAGAATAAAATCACCCAATCTCGCCTACAAAGAGAAGGGAATTTCACATACGGGATGAGGAACTGATCAATATGTGCTTATTCTCAAACAAAACAATGGGGTGACATTTGTTACTTGCGAGGTGCAAGAACCAGCTCACACAACCAGTGAAGTGAAACTGCCAATACCTGCAGTGGAGCCGGTGGTCCACACAGGCAGGTATACTTCATGGGTGGCATAATTCTTTCCTGTCTTCTTCACTAAGAATGTAACTCTTTGGTTGGGGTCTGGATATTTTCTGTGTTCAGAGAGCATAGCATACTTCTAGTGGCACATAAATATTTTTCAGCACTTATTTTTAGTAATAAAATACTGGGCCAAGAATACCAAGATTCAGAGCTTGGAACAATATAAGATTGTTCATACAAATTAAACTGACTTACATGCCATATTCTTAACCTGTTATTTTCACTTCTGCAGAATTTACTAGTGTATTTTCTAATGTGCTTCCATAGTCATGGAAACTAGAAACTAACTTGCTTAAAAATCAAAGATTCTCAGAAATACAAATTCTGTCCAAGATACTGGGATTCACTAGGGAGGTCTGCGCACATGAAAAAATGAAGGCAAACAGTCTTCATAGAAGCATCAAATTGTAGAGTTGGACGGGACCACGAGGGTCGTCTAGTCCATCTCCCTGCAATGCAGGAATCTTTTGTCCTATGTGGGGCTTGAACCCACGACCCTGAGATGAAGAGTCTCATGCTCTACTGACTGATCTTGTCAATACTTTGCTTCTTTGTGTGCTCAGGCATGTGTGTAAGTATGAACGTACCTAAGCAACGTGTGCTAAGTCAGTAGGCAGCATACCTCTGCTACTTTTGCCTTGTTTCTGTCCAAGTCCTCTTGCTCTGAGGCTCAAAGAGAAGGTCTGTGGCTTACTGCACCATGGGAAGTCTGCTTTAATAGGATTTAATATAGTGACAACCTTAGGAATAATAAACTCTTGCAAGCAACAAAAATTGTTTAATTCCTAAAGGACAGGCCTGGTTGAACCACTTTTGGCCAGGGGCAATTGGGGGCTTAATATTGTGTATGTAGCAATCTGGGTGAATTGAGAGAGAGGCATTTAAGGGTAATTGCTCAATTTTCTATCCGTGTCAACAGGGAAAATAGGCAGAAGTGGCTGAGCTCAGCACAGTAATAGAGCTGGATGAGATGGAAGATGCCAGGCTGTTAGGTGAATTGGAAAAGTGCTATCTGTTGAGCGTTTCCTTCCCAGAGCTAGGTGTTTCTTCTAAGCTCAGGCTGCTCTGTAGACCTACATAAGGGGAAAAAACAAGGATTTTGAAAGGGGTGGTCCCTGACCCTTCTCTGGGGGTTGAACCCAGTATTTTGCTTTTGTTTCCCTTCTTGTTTATGTAACTGCAGATAAGTGGTCAGTTCCTGTGTGGGTAGTTCTGGACATCACTAGAGGTTATTCTTCCTTCTTTCCAGACTCTGATTCCCTGTAATATCTAACTTCATCCTTTTCACAAGTGTCCCACTCTCTTATATGCTTTTTGAGAAATAGAGCCAAGAGAATGCCTTTTTAAAAAGAAAAGTAGAAAGAAAGAAAAGGGATTTGTTGTTTGGGGTTCTGTTGACCCCAGGAACATAATTATGGGCAGGCTGGCCTGGTACCTCATGTGAGTTGTGTTTTGCCCCAATGCAGCCATTTTGTTCTTTTGCAGAAATCAACGGTGGCCACTCACTTCTTCAGAAGCAATTAAAGCACTGTGCTTGGGAACAGGGTTAGGATAGAAGCAAAACTGCCCCCATAACATCAATCTGTGTGTCAGGTATTGGGGGGGGGGGAGGACAGATTTAATGTCCCTGATGAGTCTAAAAATTTCTTTGCAACATTTAATTTCTTATATGTATTTACACATGGGCCTTGTGACGAAATGTTGTGCAGTAGAGTGTTTTCAGTGTTCCACTCAGTTGGCCATGCCCCAGTAGCGCAACAGGCCAGTGCATCTGGCTGTTACCAGAAGGTTGGTGGTTCAAGTCCACCCCAGGATTCCTGAATTGCAGGGGGTTGGATCAGAGTCCCTTCCAATTCTACAATTCTAAGATACTCAACCCATTCCCCCTCCCACTTGGTTTTCCTCTTTCCTTCCCAAGTCTTTCAGGATGCTCAGTCCCCATTGGAATGATTTTGGACACACACACACACACACACACACAAGCCCTCCCACTGTAAATATTTTGCTATACTTCTGAAAACTGGATTTCTACCCAAGTCTGGTGATATCATGCACCATCTTGTGCATGGATAGTGTCGTTTTGCCTATATAAAGACCAGCGCTTCAAGAATTGAGCTTGCAGTTAGGATAGATTATTACATTTCCTTCCATCATGGAACTCAAGGTGGCATGTTTAGGGTTCAAAGGCAGACTACCATCCAGGTACTATTACACAGACCCAGATCTGCTTAGCTTCAGCAGAGCTGCTACCTTAGCTGCCTTCATGCCCTGTTGTGCCTCCTCTTTTGGAACAAATTGGCAATGATGACTGGTGTTGAGGCGGATGCAAAAGGTTGACCCCTTTCTCTGGCATACCAGTGCCTTGGGGCAGATTTTGTCTATGCCTTAACTAACTACATGACTACAGTCCCTATTTTGTCTCCTGTAACTACAGCCTGCCCTACTGACAAATGCCTTACTAATAAGTAGCAAGTTTGGGATTTGGGTCTGGTTTACAGCAGAGCTCAGAACAGGCCACTACAAGCTGAATCGGTCCTTAAAAATACACAATGAAGTATTATAGCTCCTTTCACTAATCTTAAAACTACAGCTAATCCAGAATGCGGCAGCTAGACTGGTGACTGGGGGCGGCCGCCGAGACCACATAACACCGGTCTTGAAAGACCTACATTGGCTCCCAGTACATTTCCGAGCACAATTCAAAGTGTTGGTGTTGACCTTTAAAGCCCTAAACGGCCTCGGCCCAGTATACCTGAAGGAGCGTCTCCACCCCCATCGTTCTGCCCGGACGCTGAGGTCCAGCGCCGAGGGCCTTCTGGCGGTTCCCTCATTGCGAGAAGCAAAGCTACAGGGAACCAGGCAGAGGGCCTTCTCGGTAGTGGCGCCCGCCCTGTGGAATGCTCTCCCATCAGATGTCAAAACGATAAACAACTACCTGACATTCAGAAGACATCTTAAGGCAGCCCTGTTCAGGGAAGTTTTTAATGTATGATATTTT